TTTCTTGTTAGTAGATGGTAATTTGATTGCTCATTGTCTCCCTGTGAAACTGGTATTAGTGCCATGTTAATTCTTCTGTTGTGTCCTGTTTCCTCACTCATTGCCCTCCACATCAGACTTTCCAAGAATTTGAGGTGAATCTGTGTGTGTGTGGTAGGGAAGAGAACACATGTCAGGACAGTGTGATAAAGGTACTTCAGTCATTTTTCTTACCTTTTTATTTTTGGAGATGAATGTAGAAGGGAATAGCAAAACTTTACAGCAAGTCTCTAGGGCTGTAGCTCAGTCTTCCATGTTCACATATATTTTCATATTTCTGTGGGCATGCTGGGTTAAGTCACAATGAAAAGAACATTGCAAGCCTCCTTCTGAGTATGGATTTTTAACTTCCTTCATCCATTTCAAAAGTTTTGTTTTTGCTGAGTCTGATAGATGCCTTGTCTGGTATGAATCCTGCCAGTCATTCAACGAAGCTTTTTGTTTTTGTTTCTAGAAAATTATCTTTAGTTTAATGACCTTTCTGCTGAGAAACATTAGGGAGTTCAGAGGTTACCTAATTTTCCTGCTGGAAGGCAAGGATTTATTTTTATTCTTGAGAATTCTTTTCCAGCATGAAATCTTTTGTAGTCTGACTTTGTGGATGTTATTTTGGGTGTATGGACATGTGAAATATCCAAATTCTAAATTCAGTAATATAATAAAAAACTGGAGGACAGCTAGGACATTTTAAGTTTACAGTGGCAGTTAAGACCCACACTGTTATCAGCAGTCATGCAGAAACTCCTCCTTTAGATGTCTGATCATGTAGTCGTGTTTTTGCTCTGTGAAGCAAGGTAGTCATGTCATAGGAGCAGAGGTTAAAAAAATTTGTTTTTCGCTCATTTCTCATCAGGTATGTATTGTGTTATGTATACTTCACAAGGATTAATGCTTTTTTGGTATCACTTTCTAGGTTCTTTGGGTGAGAGGTTCTGACTTGCTTTTCCTTCTGCATAGGAAGAAGGAGATGAATTGATTATCAAGTGAGATGAGGTGCAGCAGAATTTGTATTCAGCAGTGACAGAATTAATTTTGGAAGGGGATCAACCGCCCTTGTCTGAGGACTCAAGAGCATTACAGGTGAGGAAGTTGCTGTGATCAGTATTGATTTTGAAACACTGAGAACCTGTTGAGGGTGTTTGCTCAATGTGAAACATTTTATACTTGGAGACCTGGCAGCAGCGGATGAAGCTTTAGGCTACATTTCCAAGTGAAGCTGTACAGCTGACACCTGTAGTTTTTAATAGAACTTTTGATCCTGGTCTCCTAGTGGTTTTGTTTCCAGAGGGGAATTTTTATCTAGATTCTGGATTTGAGCATTAACTTTTCTTTCATGGTACTGTGTTTGGTACCTGACAGGACTTCACAAAGCACAGAATATTTAGAAGTTGAGTGTTAATGAGAGAACCTACAATCAAAGTCAATGCAGTTTCCCTGTAAATTGTGGTAGTGTGTTGGTTGGTTGGATTGTGTGCTTCCCAACCAGGAGTCTCTTTTCCTCCCAGCCAGCCCAACAACAGAAAGTAAGGATATAGATGGGGAAATAGGCTCCATGGTGGCAGTAAGAACTTTGGCAGAGGACTTCTTTTTTACTTCAGAAATATTACTTCCCTTAATTTTGATTGCAAGTGTATGTGGAGAGGTAAAATTTTGTAGTTGGGCAGCTTGTCTGTACAAATTCCAGAGATTTATTCATCCACACATATATGAGATTGCATTCTGATGAATAATCACCAAGGTTACAGTCTGCACATAAGTTTGTGTAAGGTTGGAGCAGCAGTAATGAATTGAAGCATTCAAATTTTCATGGAATTGCTTAATTTCCAATGGATTCATTTTTCAATGTCAATTAAAAATGTTCAATACACTTTTTTTAATGGTCTGATATACTATCTAATATCTAACTGTAAAGACACTGGATAGGCAGCACTCTGTGGCTCCTTATTGCTGGAGGCTCTGTGAGCATCCTGCTCCTTCAGATGGAGAAAAGTTTGCTGTGTTTCTTGTATGTTTTTTATTGTTTTATAGTTGGTTTGGGTATTTTTGTCTGTGTGCATGCTTAAAGGTTATTCTGTGCAAATCCACTAGGTGGTAGGCATTAAGCATCTTCTAGATAATTGTACAGCAGTGAAATTTTAAGAGTGTTTTGAAAATATTTGAAGGGGTACTGAAATACTGCTAGTAATTTGATTGTGTTGATTCAATTTTGAGCTTTAGCTTAACAGTATTGATGGTCCTCTCTTGTGATAGGAGCTGGAACCTGCTTCTGCATCCACATGCTGGTGAAATTGCCAGTGTTTTAGAGAACTGTGTTTATAGTATGAAAAATAAATGGGAAGAAATAGGATGTATTTTACAGGATTCTTTCCTCAAGGAAAGATGGAATACATGCAGATACTGTTCTGGTGTGACTAGTGCTATAATTTTTGTAAACAGAGTGTGATATGGGATATGAAACTGTTACTGATCACTTTTCTCTGCTCTGTTACCCACTTTGGACTGCTGTTAAATGGGCTGATTTTTTCTCTCTCCTTCAGACTGCTCCATTTAAATCTGGCTGTTACCTTGCCCTGCCATTTTCTACCTATGTGTATCCTGGGGTACTGAACCCCAGCTATTAAGAAAACACGAGGAAATTATGCTGTGAACTTTAATGATTTAAATAGTCTCCATAAATACAACACAAACCTCTTCCTGGTACTTACTTATAGGGAAGCATATTTGCACAAAACCCATGCCACTTGGCTCAGTTGGAAATTGCCGTTTAAATAGCTGATTGCATGGAATGAATGCTGCTCATTGTAGCAGCTCTTGTTATTTAAAAAGTATATTTATAATTTTTATAAAACACTGTCTGTTGTGGATTTTTTTTTTGCCACTGTATTCAGTAATTATAATGTGAGGAAACTCTTACTCTTTTGGCCCTAATCTGAACTTTTGTTATGGTGTGTTTGTAGTTCAGGTTGTGGCATCATCATGCATAATTCTACAAAACTGGTTAGACTCACTTCCACACCTCCACAATACCTGCAGCCCTCAGAAAGGGGAGGCCACTGCTATTCCAGCCTCTGGTGGTGGTGTCAGTGATTTTACTTGTTGCTATTCTTGGTTGCTCTTACCTCTGCATTTCAAGGGTCAAAAGGCTTTACATTCAGAAGAATTCCTTGTCTGCTCACCTTGTTTCTCAGTACAAATACACTTTGTTTTCTGAATTTGTTTTTTTTTCTGAGTTTGTGCAGTTCTCTGAGGAGCATAATAAATTGAACCCGATTTAGCTCTTTATCCTGATGAGCATAACAAAGTCCATTGGGGAGAAGTAACAAGAATACAAATAACTTCTTATGAGCTGTTAAGCTTTTTGTGTTGTATTTTTCTTCCATGCTTTCAGTTTAAAAATTAGAGTTAATGATCTCTATGTGAGATTCTTTTCTGCATTACATTTTCTAATAAACATACTGGCACTTGATCTTATAGGAAAGTGGAATGTAAAGTAAAGTAAGATATACTTCACTGGATATAGAAAGAGACTTTTGTAGTGAAAGTACTTTTACACCAGCAGATAGTGCTATTTTTTTCTGTGTTAAATGAATCTTGATTTTAATAGGTCATATGTGGTCACAGAATTAATCAGATATTCCAACCTTTTTTTGTTTGATTCACCTGACACACAGGAGCTGGCAGCTTCTCTGGAGATGATGTATGGTCAATATTCTGAAGCAGATGACTCAGGAAGTATTTCAACAGTTCTTTGAGTGGAAGAGTGTTAAAACAAAGAAATTAATTTGTGTTAGAAATAATATGGACACTGCAAATTCTTGTTGACTGGTTAAGTGACATCTAAAAGGTACGATGAACAATCAGTCTTTCCTGTTGGTGAAAATGATGAAATGTGACACTGTCTATCCAAGCTTGTGAGGCAAAGGGACAGCTGTTTGTGGCAGGGAGACTGTGCATATGGACAATGGCTCTAAATCTCAGTGTCTCAATACAGAGCAAAAGGTAGTGCATGGAGGAATAGGGTGTTAATTTTCCTTTATTCCTGGTGCAATGAGCTGGAGTTTATATAAAAGATGTCCTTTGAAAAGAAAACAGAAATGTCAGTGCTTTTGTGCAAGTATGATTTTGGGTGTGGTCTTCCATCTTGGTTGTGTGACTGAAATGCTTGAATTAGGTCTTTCAAGTGGCCTTTCGATATAAAGGTTTCAGATTTTAAAAGGTTCTGTTTCTGAAGGTGCTGATGAAGGACGATGTGAAGAGCAGCTGATCGGACCAGATGTGATGTAGGTGCAGGCTGCAGACAAGTATAGAGATAGAGACAGATTCTCTTTCTCATTGAAATACTGAGTGTGGAGGATTTATACAAATAAAGTGCACAACATTCTGCAATAGCATTCTGATGCTCTGTCTCAGTCTGAGTTATGGGAGGTTTGGAGCAATGCAATGGGGTGCAGGTTATTTGTCTTGGAAGGAGGTGGATGGTGCAAGTGGATTACTATTCATTGAGTTCTGCTTGTAAAGGAACTGCAAAGTAGGTAGGCATCTTTGAGACTTTCCTACCCCTGTGCCTAATACCTTTTTTTTTTCTCAATTTAGGACTCAGTCTTCCTGGAAAGATGGTCAGCTGCTCCTTCTCTGCTCCTGCAGGCCCAGCTTCCTCAATCTCCTTCTTGTGACTTGCTTGTAAATATTCTGTTTGCGTCAGCACAACCTCCCTGCCCGTGTGAGTTGGACATAATCACAAAGGTTGTGCCCTCTCACAGGGAGTAAGTTTTCTGCTCTTGCATTTCATTGTACCCAGACCATTTACTGTAGCCAGATGCAGCAGTTTAGACTTGGTGCATGTCATGGAGAGTGTAATGTTAATGAATATAATTACTTACAGCTGTTTATAATCATGTTGGTTATTAGAGGGGGCAAACAAAAGTGCAGGTGGTTTTCTGTAATTGCAATTCAGAGTGGTACTCTGCATGTAGAAGCATGACTAAAGTTTGTTAGCACAGTAACAACTTTGGTTTACTACTTCAAATCTGAACTCTTCTGCCAAAGCTTCACAGGTACAGGAAATGTACAGAAATTTGGTATGGATTGGTAGAGCACAAGCTGGTAGATCAAGGAAGAAAATTTCATTTATCCTTCTATGTCACTTCAACTTTTGGTATGCAGTTTTTCTGTTGCAATTTAACTTCTACCTCCTTTAAAAAAGGGTGAGCAATTGTGTAGAGGAAATACTTCTTTGAAGCATTTCCCTTGTCTGTGTTTTAAATACATACTCCTTTCCCTCTTTTCCTGAATCCAAATTCATCTACTGCAACATCTGTGAGAATCTATACAATAGGAAATGTATAGATTTGTGTCAGTGACAGACATGGAAAATTTCAGAGCTTGTATGTCTCCTTTCCAGTACATATCTCCAGGCTTTTGGGGGCAGCAGCGTTTGAACTCAGTGTTCAAGGTTTTTTTTTTTTGTTGTTGTTCATTTAAGCTTAAAACAATAAAACATTTTCACAATATTTAGTGGAATACACAAGTTTGATAGGTAAATGAACAAGGTGGAGTTTGCAGGTTTCTCTTATGACTGTGTATCTTTCCTGTTAAATACAGGACCGTATTTCTATTTTAGTTCTGGTTGCCAATGTAATATCTCTTCTTTTGCAGATATGAGCAACAAAATTTTACTAAACAATACTAATTATAATTATAAGCTGATCTTACTGACTTTTCTCTGTCCCTTTCTGCAATTTATATATTGAAATTATTTCTGATTTTTATGAAAATACTTATGATTTTCTGGTGAAATCTTTAACCTCATGCCACACTTGATAAACTGTGAAATAGATCCCAGGATGTGTCTTCATCTCAGGCAGTACCATATAGGAATTGAAATCTTGTGTACTGCTGTGTGGGCAGCACGTGTTGATTTTTAACATGAAACTCAGTAGGAGAGGGATTTTGATTCTTCTACTGTTCCATATTTTGATAAAATGCAAAATGAGATTAGGAAAATAAAACTCAATCAAGGGAATAATTAACTTTATTTTTGCCTGGTGAATCTCAAAGCTGTTAGTTCTAGAAATTGTTATATTACTCAAGTGTGAGGTGAGATCTGACACGAATCCTGATTATATTTCCAGTAGGTCTAACTCTTTGCATTTCTTACTTGTTCTTGCTGATTGCTAACTTCTTATTTTCAATTGCAAGGCTCACCGCTTGGGTAGGTTTGGGGTTTTTTTCCTATCTGCTCTTTGAAGTATTGTAACCTGATGCTATAAGCATCTTCAGATTCAGAGGAAGTGGTTTGCAGTGGGGATGAAATTCTTGAGTTGGCTTAACCAAAAAATATTGGAAAAACTGGTTCTTCCCTCTCTACATACTGAGAAGATTTCTTTGAGCTTTACTGAGTTTTTGTGCATGTGCTGAAAATACAGGTGAAAGTTCTGTTTGAAATAATGGGGTTGCCTCTCTGGGTCCATGTGTATGTGTAAATTTACTCTTTCCAGTCTGAAAGACTAAGTTTTTCATCACTTTCGTTTTGCATGGGACAGGTGTTCTTGCCTTACCGATACTCTTTTTCTGTGCTGGTGTTAGTCTTTTTCTCAGTTATTTGCATTTTCCAATAAGCATTTCCTGCATTCTCTTTTGCTCACTCTGAAGCACTTGCATTGTCTCTGCAATGAGTCCCTGCTGTGCCAGAGAGTGGCCATTTCAGTCAATATCACATCCATCCTTTGATGTTGCATCATACCAACAAAAACCCAGGAGTTTAGCTTGTGACTGTGCTTTAGATAGAGCCAGTGACTCTCACTGCCTGCGTGCTTTACTATTCCATATATATTTAACTGTACTAGCCTTAAAAAAACCTCTTTAGTAGCACGTGGAATATGAAATTTCTTCATGACTTCTGCATAGAAGTACCAGGCAGTTTTATTTTGTTGATACTCTTGGATGAACTCCTAGACTTTCTAACTTCCCTTTTTGAATCTCTATAAGAAGAGAGAGAAAAATCTGATAAAACAATTTTTTTATTAACAATGGAATTTCTCAGTCAAGTTTTCACATCTTAAAGGTTGGTGTGCATAAATGAGGAATGACTCTCAATCTTTACTCCCTCACTCCAGCTCAGGATGCATGATGAAGCACAGAAGGGAGTAACTATGAGTACTTACAGTAAATCTATATATAAGTTCACCAGGAGCAAAGTGTATTCACTGTCATGCAAAATAGATACTTGGCCAATTTTGGGATGAGCTTATGCCTTATTAATTTCTAACCCTTTCTGATACAATTTCTTTTTGATAAATGTCCCTTCATCTTTTTAGAAGAAAATTCTGGGAGTATATTGGTGATGGCAGGTTGGTTGGGTTAAAGCTTCAGAATCCCAGTGGTACATTGCCTTAGTCAGTGCTTCATTTCATATATTTAAATACAAAGATACTTTCTTAAAAAGTAAAGCATTGGAAGATGGAATCTCTAGATTTGTGACAAATCAGCAATATGTAGCTTAGGGGGATTGAGCTTTAAGGAGAATGTTGGTTTTTCAGAAGATTCTTAATGTAATTAAAATGAAACACAATAGAAATCCTCTTCTGTGGGGAAGGACCTTGAAAAGCTGAATTCAAATAGGCTCCAGGCTATTTCTTTAACTCATTTGAATAGAGCATTAAAATAGAAAGATTTAACAGTTTCTGATTTTTTTCTTTTCCTCCTAGTTCAAAAAAACAGGCAGAGGAATTGTTGAACAGAAGTCATGTTACTCACTACTTACTATCAGTTAAGAAAACTGTGAAAAGCTTAAAGGCCCAGTTAAAGTGGAAGCTGTTTGATAAGAACAAATTTTATAGCATTGGAACTTCATCTGTTGTTGTTCAGATGGGTTAAGAAACATTAATTTTGTCTATTCCAAATAAGAGGTAACTATGTAGAACAGTTTTTTTTCTGAATTCAATTTTGCCTTTAAATATGAAAGTTTTACAGGCCCCTGAGACCAAGCTTGAATGGTTTAAAAACCAAAAAATCTCCACTAACCAACCATCAAGTGAAAAAAAGGACATGTACTTTTCTGTTTCAGTCTCCAGCCATGACATGTGCTGTTAACCAATTCCCTCTGGTGACAGGTGCTGTCCACAGCACGAGCAGTTCTGTCCAACTCTTTCTACTGTGCTGGTTACTTTTAACTTTGTTGATAATGTGTGTATCTTCTCCTTGGTGACAGAAGCCAACATCTGTCCCAGTTTTCAGGGTTCCCCACTATTCCTCAGAGAGCTTTAAAGAAGCTGAATACTACTTCAGCTTCACTGCTGTTGGTTTGATCGTATATTAATTATTCTAATGATGTGCTTAAGGAAAAAAAGAACCTGCACATTTGCCTCTGAGCATTGTAAAGGGGCAGAAAGCTCTCAAGAGGGATTTAAAATGAGATGCACTAAGGAAACCTATTGGGAAAAGGATTCTTGAGTAATGAGGTGACATGAGGAAAATGCCTGCCTACTGGAGAAAAAAAGTGAATGAATTACGGAACCTGGTGTTGCTGGTGGATTAATGACATTGCTGTTGCTTTTATATGTGACTGGCTAATTAACATAAATTAAAAAAAAAAAAGTTCTTTGTCTTAGGAAACAAATAGGCAAAAGGCTAGAACATTTGGCTTGTCTCATAAATAAAGGGAGCACCTTTCTCAGTGATTAGGTTTTCAGAGGTTCTCTTGGGTTTCCAGGAAGGAGACTGAGTAAAATATGCATTTGAGAATACATTTAACTCTAGAACTGTTATATGGAAGTAGTAGACTACTGTTGCTTGGAATAATAACAGAATGAGCATTATTCACAGACTTTGCTATTCCTAATGCAGTCCGATGATTACAGTGATTTTGAAATGACATAAAAAACTTCTCTTTCACTTCACCCATGGTTCACAGCCTGGATCAGGTTTGTGCCTTCTCTCTAAGGATGTCAGTACCACTCAGTGCTCCTTCTTTCTGCCTGCTCACAAAACAATGGAGCTGGCAACTGGTCTGTTACCACGGGCTCCTGCCAATATGGTAAATCTGGTGCTGGTTGCCATCATGGAAGGGGGTAGAAACTCAGGGCCTGGCTTTTATTTTGACAGTTGATAGTCCCAAAATATGTTGTAAACCAGAAGGGGGGAAGCAATTACTAATAGGGAAAAAGCAGGAAGGCAGAGAAGAAAAAACAGACAACCTGGCAGAACTAAATTCTTCAAAATAGTACTGAATGTCTTTTTGTATTTGTAATTTTTATTTTTTTTTTTAATTTGAGACATTTTTCAGTTTGTATTCTTTGCCACCTTATGAGATTTAATAGTTTCTTAGTGTATGGTATGCCAGGAAGGAGAAAGCAGTTTATTTTCCTGCATTAGGTGGTGTGTCAGCATCACCTCCACCTCCTTGTTGTCTTCTGGCACTGTATGGCTGCCTCCTCAGCTCGCTAAAGCTCCCAAATTTGAAAAGCCACAAGCTACCCAGCAAGTGCTCATGTTCCCATACAGTGATTTTGCATGAGCTTCAGGAATATGGGTGGGTCTTTGTGGGAAATACTGGCACTTCCATCATCTCCACAGGGATGGCTTCGGTAAAGTCTCCTGTGCTGCTGCATTTTAAGAACAATTCCTAACAGAGATGTGAACTGGAAGTTGATGGGTAACCACTATTGGTTACCTGTGCTGAGAAGGTGGAGATGATTCATATAAAAGTCGCTCTTCATTTTGTTTTATTCCCCATTTAGAGAGCAATTGCTTAAAAATAAGTAATTTTTCTATTTGGATGAATGAGTGATGAAATAGATTGTAAAAAGTGTAGCTTGATATCATAGATGTTTATAAATTATTAACATGGAAGGATTTAGTTAGAACACTTTTGCTACCGTTATTCAGATCTTGCTTTGTTCTAGAGGGTTTTTCACAAAGAAGTGAGGACAAAAGAAAATGTAAAAAAAATGTAAATGTAAAAAAAAAATTACAGAAAATGTAAAAAAAAAACCCCAACAACATCAAAAGAACGAAACAAAGAAACCCCTTCAAATAAAAAAACCCAAAAAACCCCTAAGACCCCATAACAAAACAAAACAAAAAAACTCAACAACAACAACCAAACAGAAAACCAGAAAAAACCACCTCAAAATACCCCCAAAAACCCACTCAAAACAAAACAACAGAAAAAAAACCCCACCAAAACCCAAAAGGAACACATTTTTACAAATGACTGATTCTTCTTGAAGAGAACAGCTGGGGTGCAGCAAGATAAGCATTTGGGGACTTCATCCAGGTTTGCCAGGTGAATTTCAGATTGCTCCACACCTAACTAATGTTCAGCTCAGACTTGGTGTTGCATTGATCATTTGATGGAAAATTCTTAGTATTGTGTTCAGAAGTTGCCAGTTTCATGTTGGGCATCTGAAATTGTGTTCTCCCTCATTTCATAGCAGTGTCACTTCAAAAATGGAGACAGTGATTTTTCAAATTCTCTGCTGATCTGTGTCCTAAGAGCCCAGCACTGACCAAGCACCTTTTGCTCCCTATGTAATCTCTCAGGACTGAGGCATTTTCAGCTTAACCTGCAGGCAGTGTCTGAAAAATGCTGTACTCATGCACACTCCCAGGCAATAGTGAAGACTGGGGGGATTTTACTTGGTTTATGAGTCCAAAATTCACGTTTGTCAGAGTGTGCTTACCCCTCAGCATTTCTTTAACATACAACTTGGACAGGGACTTTTCAGTCATATTTTTAAAAGTCTATTCTTTTGACTTCTTAGAGTTTCTTCTGGCATTATATTTTTTTCCTTTTGTTTCTGTGTAAGGCAAACTCGAGCCCCTTGTCTGTTTTACCCTACTGTAAAATTAGAAAAAAATCTTTCCTTGCCATTTTTCATATCAACCCATTTTCATTTGGAACCTGGTGAATTGCCTTGACTGATGTTTGGTTTTGTTAAACTAAAGGGGGAAACCCACCAGTGTTATATATCTTTTCATTTACAACTTTGCATTCAAAACTAGGAATTTGGCATAAAAAGAGGATGAAACACATGAGGTAGATGTTGTTGTGGTAAGCCAATTGTCAGATGAGGAAGGTAAGGCTGTTCTTATATAGAGGTAGTTGGTTGGATTTTAAATAGAAATATTTCATTTGAAGTGCTGGGCTGAAAAAAATGTTCTTAATTGACTATTCGCATAATTTTGGATAGCCTGCACAAATATAAATTGAGAAGGTAGAAAGCCCCAGAGTTTTCTTAATATTTAACTCAGATCTCAGAAGGAACAACTAATAATTGAATGATACTGTGTTGTAGACTTGGAGAATAAGCCATGGAGATTCAGCCTCAAAGGAGGTACTTGTATTAGAAACCTATTTTTTTTTTCTGAAGTCAGGAGGTTGGCTTTTTTCATCTGTCTTACTACACAATGACTGCACAGTGTTTGAGCATTATTAAACCAGCCAAATTAAATTTTAATAATGTTGAAAAAATGTACTGTGCCCTTTATTCTTTAAGTTTCTTTTTTGTGCAGCAAGTTTTCCTATGACTCTGAAACTAATCTACACATGTAAGTGAACCCTGCATGATACAAATCGTTGTCAATGTTTTCATTCTTTCTACTCTCAAATTCTTTGCCTGCCTTATGACAGTAACTGGTGTCTCCTTGAACTCTATTTGCAGACCCTTTTTTGAAGCTTGTCCTTGCCCAGGGTCTCAGTGACTAAGAAGCAGATCTGTGCACCTTCATGCTTCACAATTTGGTTTTCCAACTTTGAAGTCAATTTTCACTAATTTACCTTTCTCTTGGATGCTAATCATTAGCACATAATTTTATAGACTCATATCTGGGCATTCTTTACCTGAGTGCTTGTCTTTCCTCAGGTTCATTTTCTCGTGTAACTATTTTCTATAATCTTTCAATCTTCTGGCCAGGAGTTAAGACCAAATAAAAAATTCCTCTTTCTTAGTTATACTTGTGGGGTTTTTTTGCCAGCTTTAAAGAGATGATTGTTTAAGCATAGAGTTAAATTACAATTGTGTTCATTATGAGCTCGATGTATCTTGTTTACTGTGTTTAGGTTAAGGAAATGCCATGATCCAGTACCAGGCCAACACAGCTGTAATGGCTGCAGTGTCCTGGCAGGGTAGCTAATGTATCACTGCATATCACTTATGCAGTACAGTAAATAATCTTGTTTTATTATATGCTTTCTCTACAGTATGTCTTTCAATAACTTCACTTTGACTATTTTCTGCAGTGGTGAAAGCATTACTGATAATGCATAAGACTCTCTAACAAATCCTTCTGCAGAATTATTTCCAATGGGACACTACCATGGAAAACAGAAGAATAAAACATGCAGCATTTGAGCAGAGAGGCTATCCTGTAAAGAGTGTATCTTATTGCTCATTATAATTGATGGATTTTTTATTAAAAATTAAATGAATCTCATGAAACACACAATACTATAGGAAAGAAGATTCAGTACTTCATGACTGAACATTAGGGCCAGCTAGGGGGCTTTAAACATATTTCACAAAACTTGTACAGAACCTTGTGCCCAGAGCAGCATTCAGGATTGCTCATAATAATCCTTAGATACTAAACCCTCTAACTTTTTCTCATGGAAAGGAAAACATTTACTTCAAGGATGTAGAAAAGATTGCTTGGGACATTAAAGCTGGTTGCTTCACTTCTGTTTTTCATAAAATTTCTGCCATGAAAATGTTCTATAAATAAGGTCTGAAGTACACAAATCAAAATTTTAATGGCCAGTTTCAGGGAATTATACTTCTGTGTTCTTCTGTCACAGATACCTTCTGAAGTGGAAGGAGCTGCTCTTACCTCACGAACCATTAATGAATTTAGCTGGTATTGTTTTTAGCAGGGATTAAAATATTTACAGCTATTAATAAGAGCAAATTTCTTTGACATTTTTTTTTTTACCTGATGAAAAGAAATATTTGATTTTGACTTTGTAAGGTGATGCAATCCTAATCAGCACAGCTCTGCTTGGCACTGGTTAAGGATTCATTCTGGATGTGTGTGCACGCCTGTGCCCCAAGCACTTGAGTTCACCAGAAAGCAATCTGTGCTGCTTGCAGAGCACAGAAATACAGATGAGAGTTTTACTAAGAACGGTAATACTAATAAATATCTTTCAGCTGTTTCTTGGGGAGTCTTTTAGACCTCTGGCTGTTAATCCTTGTCCCAGTTCTTGGGGAAAATCTATTTTGCTTCAAAGTGCTTTATCTATAATCAGCTTATTCAGAATTAATCTCCATGCCCATCTGCAGGCTCCTGACAAACTGGTAATTTCCCTTCCATCTCAATCTCGTGCCCAGAGGAATTGCACACTTGTAACTAGTAAAATTTTGGTTGTTTTCAAGAAATGTAAAATTGCCACAGGAAAACAATGTAAGGCTTTAAAACGGGGATATTAATGTTAGGTAAATCTGTAGCCAGAGCAATGTATAGCAGTAAAATCTTGCTGCCACTCATTTAGCCATACCAAGATTCAATGTTCAGTCTGTTTCAACATCCAGTTTTGTGTATTAAAAAAAAATAAAAAAACAAGTAAGATCAAACACAATGAAATGGAGTAAACACGATGAAATGTTGTTCTACAGCCGTATTCCTTGTAGAATCAATTTTCAGTTTCCTTTGTGTGAGAAGGGGATATTTGTTGTTGACAGACATTTGACAGTATCTTGAAATGCAAATAAGCAAGTACAAAGCTTTTCAAGCTCTTCAAATGCTCAGATTTTCTTCACTTTACTTCTAAGAGTGTAGTCATGGTTCACTCCTGCATTTCTTTGCATGTGTTTGGATCCTCTTTTCTAGGGATTTTCCTCCGAGTATTTAAAATGTTTTATAAATATTGAACAATCCGTTATGCCTGCAAGATCCACAGCCTTCAGATCTCATCTTTTAGCCCAGATTTCAGGTTACTTGGGAAGTGACTAATTCTCTGGAGTCACTCTGGTAATTAGTGAAAGAGTTGGAAATGGCTTGTTTTCTGTCTTCAAGTTTTTGACTACTTGTGTACAATCCCTTACATCCCATATCCTTCTCTCTGGGTGAAATAAGGATAGGTGAGAGATGTACACTTATCTTGTATTTTGCTGTTAATATTGACCCAGGTCAGAGGAGTTCCTGCCTTGGAGTGTGTGAACAAGCAAGACTTCCTGTGTAAAAATTCTGTGCCTGTTGAGTTTTGGTAATCTAGATTTCTAGATCAGCATTTGAGATTTTCTTTCTTATAGCTCCCTCACCCAAATCCAGTGTGTGCTGCTCCTCCTCAACAGCTGATGTTTATGCATCTGTATAGAGCTGAGGATTTATGTTTTATGTATGGAATCTAGTGCTGTAGAGCTGAGGATTTATGTTTTATGTATGGAATCTAGTGCTGTTTTCATTTGTTCTCAGTAGAAAAACCAACTTGGGTATTTGTGTAATTTCTAGTAGTTTGGTGAATTCATATATCAAAATTTCAAAACCTCACATTCTTCTGGCAGACCTGGTGCTGAACATTTGCTTAAATTTTGTTGCTAATGAGCACTATGATGCTGAGTGTTGCTGTCCATTGGGAATGCTATGGTACTACATCTTTTGAAGGCTTTAGGCCCTAAGAATTTAAAAGATGTATTCATCAAATGCTTGGTTGTTATTTGTAATCGAGTTTGTTTTGCTTCCTGATGAAATCCTTCTCCCTCTGTTTGCAGGATGATAAAGTTAAATCTCTTCTTCTGAATTTGTTCTGCTGTAACAGACTGATGCCTGAGCAGGTGGGGAGGAATGATTGCTTCCTCACAATTGATGTGATTCCAGTTTCACTGCAACCAGGTGAAGAGTATGAGCTGCATAAAAAGCAAAATTCTGAGACAACAAAGTGAAAAAAAAAGTGATCAACCAAGGAGAATGGAGCAAATCCTACTCCACAGATGAAGACTTTACCATCAGGTGTTTGAGACTTCTGTTTTGAAATCATTGACCTGATCTGAAATAGCAAAGTATAGAAAAGTATTTGGTAGGAGCACTCATTTTTTGAGATTCTACAGTCTTCACTGTGTTTTCTTTTTATCTAATTAAGTATTTGGGGTTATAAGTGTGATTTTAATGATTATTTTCTTGGTTTGTCAGCCTTTTTCTTTTAGTCATATGTAGGCTTTAAATTTAGAGAGACGAGTCTTGTTAGATGCCAGAGGTCTTTAAGATGAGGCTTTAGTGAGTTGGTTTTCAATTGAGTTTTCTATCCCTCTTCATGCTCTAAATCCAAATAACATATTCCTCTTAAAGGTGTTCTGGAGCATTATTTTTTTTGCTCAAGATTTATTTTTATTGCATAGACCAGTTGTTCTTACAGTAACTGCCTTCAGGATTTAAGTCAAGACCCCAGTATGCTGCTCTGAAAACTGGTAAAAGAAATGGTGAGCACCCTTCCTCTTTTCTTTTTGCCTTTGAAAAATGCAATTGACCTTTTAGAGAGCAGCCATTCTTCCAGCTGCTCCTTTGCTGTGCTGCTGCCAACCAAAATATTCTATACACACCTTTGCAAAAACCTACTGTTTACTTGCTCTGTGTGCGTATATCACCTATTATTAAATGGGTTTTTTTTGCAGTAGCTATGAGGGTGTGATTTTCATGAATGGGCTTGTTTGCCTGCCACACTTGGCTGTTGATATTTCTATTGAAAAAGTTCTGTCAGCTCTTTGTCTTTACAGGAAATTGTTGTTTATGAAGGTTTCCTTTCTTCTCAGAGAGGAGCAGGTCAGTGTGCAGTGTTGCTGTAGCAGTATGTTTAGCCTCTGGGTGTTGCTCTTGGACAGCGCTGTTGTCAGACAGCAGACTGCTATTTTGCAGAAGAGTTACTGAAGCTGCTTGTTGTTGGATGAAGAGTGTCAAAATGCAGAATGTAATAGGCAAGCAGCAGCACCAGGGAAATTGGGGAACCCTCAGGTACAATAATATAGTCCACAGCAGATAGAAGATACCCTTGGCAGGCTCATGTTTGATATTATTCTTGGTTTTCTGTCCTTAAACCAAAATTAGATTTTTTTTTTAATGTGGAATAGTGTGTAAGATTCTCATCCTCTTTTCATTATAATTTGCTGATTTTTTGATTTCTGTGAAGTGTACATAACCAAAGACAGTAAAATATAAAAAGTATTTTTATGACATAAAAAATATTTCTATGTAGAATTTTTGGTTAATGTGATAAATATTTTCATTACAGAAAATGAAGAAGAATAATGCCTCATCAATGAATATAAACGTTTAAGAAGTTTTGTGGAATGCTTTCAAAATACTGATTGCACTCTTTCATTATTAATTAAAATTTTAATAATTTCACTATTAGAATTCTAATTCTAATTTCAATGAGCGTTAAACACAGAAGAGAGGTTAGACTAACCTGTTTGTTTGTATTGTGCTGTGTAACAAATGTTAGAATAAATATTTGCCTGGTTTTCCTGATCTGGTGTCCATGCAAACTAAAGTGTGCTTAAATCCTCAAATTGTTAACCTCCTTGGTTTTCTGAAACCAGAAGTCTTCATGTATGCTTGATGAAAGAAAAATAAATTGCAGATTATTCAAAATTCCTTCACCAGTTGTAAGTACTCAGAAATCTTTTGTTATATATCAGCCTTTTCTATTTGAATTAAATGTTGATTAAAGTTTTAGTGTCAGCAGTTCTGTTTGTTTCTATGCTGGCATTTTCTATGGTAATTTTGTACCTCTGGCTTTCTTTTTCCTTTCTTATTTGCCAGAGGCCTTAAGAAAATAGGTTGGATCAGGGTGGTGTTGCACAGCTCTCCTGCCAAAGCTGAATACTAATCCATGGTAATGGACTGCCTGCTGTGTGGTTTGAGACATCTCTTTCGGCTGCAGCTCTGGTCAGCTCTGGAGACTCCTGCTCTTCTGCTCCTCTTATTCTTTGTGCCTACCTTAACATCCATAATAACACTGCTACATCTTTCCAGGTGCTTTGCTGCTCACTTCACCAGTATTTAATACTTGTGACTGTGTAGTTTTGAGAAGGGTTGGGGTGGGTATCTTGTACTTCAAAATAGATTTCTGCTAGTTAAGAGTCCTTCTAACTAACACTCACTGGTATTTTAACAGTTTTTTCCTGCAAGTATGTATAGCCTGCAGGTTAAATTATATTCCTTCATAGGTAACTCCTTCCACAGCTCCCCTAAATGGGCAAAGATTGATTTCATCTCTAGTCACTTAATTTCCCCAATTTTCAAAGAAACTGACATGAATTTATCCTGATTTCAAATCAGGAGTCTGATAGCTTGCAAGATGATGGCTTTCTAGACTGTGATGAATGTTTGAGAGCCTGATCTTCATTCACATAATTTTAAACTGGTGAAAACTTTCCTCAGATTTCTGGGTGTGTGCTGACAGGCTCTAGGATACTGTGTCGTGCCATAGTTCCTGCAGCACAGTCTTGGACTGTGTGTTTTTCACAGCAGACACACCATAGCTAGATAAACAATTTTCAAATTGTCCTGAATCTGCTCTTACTGCAAGTGGTGATGGCACACGGGATCAAGAGCTGGAGTCGGGTTTTGGCAGCTTTAGGTTCAGAGAGTGCAATACATCAAGACCACACCACATAGAAGCCCGAGTTAAAATGCTGAATTGGACTTTTTGTAAATATATTTTAGTATGTTATGTATGTCTAGCATCTGTGTTAATGTTGTAAGTTAGGTTACCAACAGGTGGAGAGAAAAAAGAATTGTTCTGCTGGGTGAAGACGTGATGTTGGTTTGTATTTGTCACCTCATGTGTAGCCACTAGCAATTTAGCTGCCTGAGGCCTGTGGGAGAGACCCCCTTCCACTTCCTGTACTGCAGAGATGGGAAAGCTTGCCAAAACTCTCTGACATTCCTTTCTTCTCTTGCGAACTTTTAGCTGCTCAACTTTCCTGCAACCTTACCAACTGGTAGCATGGTCAAGCAGACCAGATCTGTTCTGTCTCATCTTGGCAGTCTCAGTGTGGACCAGAAGTTTCTGGTATTCTGAATATGGTATTGTGAGTTTAATCTGTCATTTTAGCAGCCCTCTGGCTTCTTCCTGACCTCCTTTTCCAACCCCATGGCCCAATGTTTCAGCAAAGGCAAGAGCTGCACCACCTGGCATTGTTACAGTGGATACTGACAGATGTGTCAGCTCTGGAGAAACAGTCCTTGTTTGAAGTCAAAGATGATGAATGAGGACCTTGGGGCTTTGAGATGCAAGATGATATTCCTTTGGATGCCTCAGCGGCAGGTTTTGCCCTTATCAGGTGTGCCTTGGGTTTTTCTCCCAGATGTGGCCTACAATGCCTGCACTGTAAAAATGCATGTTACAGCCTTGGGTGCATGCAGTTAGCTGCAAGAGCTGAGGGAACACCTACATCCTCTTCTCCATCGCTTACTGAGCCCTCCATGCGCTGCTGCAGCTTTTCTTTCTAACCAAATTCTTGAGAACTTTTCTTCTGTTCTCTCTCACTACTCTGGCAATAAAGTTTCTCTGTTGCTCTCAAAGATAGTCTCTTGTGGTGTTACCAGAACCTGAAGATCTGTGAAATGCAAGTTTTTAATGATGTTGCCTGATGTACCCTGGAGCAGGTTAAGTTATTGCCCTGCCAAAGCAGCAGTAGAGTAGACACAAGGACAATTCTCGAAGGAGAATAAGAGTTATGTATCCAGTAGAGACAGTATTTCCAGTGTCTTGAAGCTCTGTAGAAGGATTTTTAAATGATAATTAACACACTTCAAATTTTTATGCTGTGTTTGCATGAACTGTGGTAAATTGCAAGCTGTGCAAGTCCTACCAGCTGAAACCCTGAATAAACACACAAGAAGCCTTGTGCAGCGTGAAAGTCACACGCAGAGTGAATCTGTAGAGCCAGCACAGCTCGGAGGATTTCTTTGTGTGCAAGCCTTTCAGTTTCCAGGATCGATTTCATCTCCCTCAGGAGAGAAACTGTGAGAATTATTTTGCAGCAAGTAGAGTGAAGATTGTTTGGTCCAACTACTGTGATGAAAGCTGGGTTCAAAGGAAAAGCCTCTAGATGAGGAGATGCAGGTAAAGGCTGATGGAAGTAGAAGTGGTGCTATTTTAAAAACCTTTTTTTTTTTTTCTCATAGAACTTTGTTTAAAGTTGAAATCTGCTGTTGGGAAATGCAACTCTGTCTCACAGCAACTTTTTTTCCTTCTAATTTAAGATAATTTTCAAAATGGTGATTCTACAAAAGCAAAGCTAAGCCCTCCTCGAGGGCTGGTTGTGACTGGCAGGCACAGTTAAGGCCACAGTTTCCAACATATCACATGAAAGAAAGAAATGTTTCAAAGTTGTTCTGGATGGACAACAATATGTTTTCACTAATACCATTTTCCTAATACTTTTTAAAAATATTTTGTTAATCAGAGCCTGACTTTATTGTATTACAGTGGCATAACTTCAAAGCTGCTACATTCTTGAGACATCTTTTGCTGTTGTGGCTTTCTAGCTCACTCACTATGACTCGACAGACTTTGTATTTCCATATTCCTTATGCTGCCCCTTCGAATGTTGCTATTGTAGATAGTGAGAATGGTTTGGTGCTAGTGTTCTCTTGGAGACACTGTTATTTATTTCATGGTGCCATTTGCAAGTAACGTGACTGCTAATGTGCATCAACTGTGAGGCTGAACATTTGGGTACTTTACAGTGATTTGCCTTTTCCCCTACAATTTAATGATAAACTTCCAGCCATGTCTGCACGTGTACTGCAGATTTTCCCACTGTTTTAGTAGGGAAGAGCTATTCTTTAAATATAGGATCAAAAATCTCACTCTTATTTATAGTCTATTCCTACTAGCTGCAGACAGAAATGATGTGAGGAATACGGGGAGATACTGGATACCAATGACTTGATTTTTGAATGCCTCTTTTTCCTTCCTGGGTATTTTTGTTTCAGTGAAAGTGTCTCTTAAAAAAGACAGGTTTTGCTAGGAAGCTTAATAAATATGCACAGGAACTTGCTCTAAGTAGTTCACCTGAGGCGTACTTGATAGCGCCTGTACCTACCACCCATACACACTTCCAAACACAAGTGGTAGGATTAGCTCCTGCTGCTCCTAACTCTAACAGAAGTTACAGTTTCAGTCCCTTGCAAGAACACAGTGTCAAGAAACAACCTGTTATTGCTGTTAGGTGAGCCAAAATGCTGAATCTATTTTATTGAATACTCAGTGTATTGAAAATTTCCTAGTCCAGAGCGTGCTGACAGGCTGGCAAGTTGTGTTAATATCTTAATACCTCAGGGCATTTATAAAGTTAATCTTTTGACATTTTTATTTGCTTTTTGGCTCAACATCATGATCAATTTTTTATCTTAAAAAAGTTCAGTTTATGACTGTCGTTTAATTGATGATAACTACAAAATATACTAGCTGCAAAGCAATAAATAAAAGAAATGCAAGTAGTATAATTTGGAACATGGTAATCTTAGTAGCCTGAGTCATGAATTTCGTCATCTGCTGCAGTTAGTATAATTTTATGATTCATAAATCTATTCATTTCTTTTTTTAGTGTGTCATCAGATAAACAGCTCAACAGTAAGGTGGCAGAATTGTCTTGTCTCACCCCAGTTGTAGGAGAGAAAGCAGGTCTGATTGTCCCTATGTATACATAGTAAATCTGTCCCTCTGACCTCTTAAATCTGCAAAAAAGCTTCCTGTGCCTCAGTGTTTCACTGGCTCATTAAGGTATTTAGATTATCAAATGACCACTACTTCAAGCTAAAATTTATAGTTCGCTCAAATTGTTTAGAAATTCATTTAGAAATAAATTGTTCATTTGCTGAAGGAGACCTTCCACTATGGATCAGTGCACAGACACTTGCAAAGTGATCCTGGGCTGACTTAAGCAGGAAGCAATCAGCACTTGCTTAATGTTAAGTCAATGCTACTACAGAAGTACTGTCAGACCCTCAAATAGTTGATGGCTCTAATTTAATTACAGAAAACATGCTTTTCCCATTAGTCTCTGTAGATCCACTTACAATTTAAAATCCTCAAGTGGTGTGATTTGTTTTGGAATGTCCCCTCTTTCTAGGTGCCACACCAGCCACAGTACCTGACCTGCCACCTACTAAACCTGAAGTTTGGAAAGCCCTATAGAAAGGAT